ACTTGATTTTTCGCCCGAAAACTGAAAAAAACGTAAGGGGTAACACTGTCGTTTTTTTTTCGGGTCGAAATTTTGAGTTTCGATATCTCAGCTCTGGAAGGGTCTAGAGCCTCCATTTTTGCGCTCAGGTCAAAGTCTCGCGGCCCTCTATCATAATCCAGAGTTTTGAGAAGATTGGAGAAACTTGTTTTTTGCCCGAAAACTGAAAAAAACGTAAGGGGTAACACTGTCGTTTTTTTTTTCGGGTCGAAATTTTGAGTTTCGATATCTCAGCTCTGGAAGGGTCTAGAGCCTCCATTTTTGCGCTCAGGTCAAAGTCTCGCGGCCCTCTATCATAATCCAGAGTTTTGAGAAGATTGGAGAAACTTGATTTTTCGCCCGAAAACTGAAAAAAACGTAAGGGGTAACACTGTCGTTTTTTTTTCGGGTCGAAATTTTGAGTTTCGATATCTCAGCTCTGGAAGGGTCTAGAGCCTCCATTTTTGCGCTCAGGTCAAAGTCTCGCGGCCCTCTATCATAATCCAGAGTTTTGAGAAGATTGGAGAAACTTGATTTTTCGCCCGAAAACTGAAAAAAACGTAAGGGGTAACACTGTCGTTTTTTTTTTCGGGTCGAAATTTTGAGTTTCGATATCTCAGCTCTGGAAGGGTCTAGAGCCTCCATTTTTGCGCTCAGGTCAAAGTCTCGCGGCCCTCTATCATAATCCAGAGTTTTGAGAAGATTGGAGAAACTTGATTTTTCGCCCGAAAACTGAAAAAAACGTAAGGGGTAACACTGTCGTTTTTTTTTCGGGTCGAAATTTTGAGTTTCGATATCTCAGCTCTGGAAGGGTCTAGAGCCTCCATTTTTGCGCTCAGGTCAAAGTCTCGCGGCCCTCTATCATAATCCAGAGTTTTGAGAAGATTGGAGAAACTTGATTTTTCGCCCGAAAACTGAAAAAAACGTAAGGGGTAACACTGTCGTTTTTTTTTTCGGGTTGAAATTTTGAGTTTCGATATCTCAGCTCTGGAAGGGTCTAGAGTCTCCATTTTTGCGCTCAGGTCAAAGTCTCGCGGCCCTCTATCATAATCCAGAGTTTTGAGAAGATTGGAGAAACTTGATTTTTCGCCCGAAAACTGAAAAAAACGTAAGGGGTAACACTGTCGTTTTCTTTTCGGGTCGAAATTTTGAGTTTCGATATCTCACCTCTGGAAGGGTCTAGAGCCTCCATTTTTGCGCTCAGATCAAAGTCTCGCGGCCCTCTATCATAATCCAGAGTTTTGAGAAGATTGGAGAAACTTGATTTTTCACCCGAAAACTGAAAAAAACGTAAGGGGTAACACTGTCGTTTTTTTTTTTCGGGTCGAAATTTTGAGTTTCGATATCTCAGCTCTGGAAGGGTCTAGAGCCTCCATTTTTGCGCTCAGGTCAAAGTCTCATAATCGCGGCCCTCTATCATAATCCAGAGTTTTGAGAAGATTGGAGAAACTTGATTTTTCGCCCGAAAACTGAAAAAAACGTAAGTTGTTTTTTTTTCGGGTGGAAATTTTGAGTTTCGATATCTCAGCTCTGGAAGGGTCTAGAGCCTCCATTTTTGCGCTCAGGTCAAAGTCTTGCGGCCCTCTATCATAATCCAGAGTTTTGAGAAGATTGGAGAAACTTCATTTTTCGCCCCAAAAAAAAAAGAAAGGGGTACCACTGTGGTTTTTTTTTCAGGTCGAAATTTTGAGATTCAATATCTCAGCTCTGGAAGGGTCTAGAGCCTCCATTTTTGCACTCAGGTTTAAGTCTCATGGCCCTCTATAAGAATCAAGAGTTTTGAGAAGATTGGAGAAACTCAAAATTTCGACCAAAAATAAAATGACAGTGGACAGTGGTCGCTTTATTTTTGGTCGAAATTTTGAGTTTCTCCAATCTTCTTGAAACTCTGGATTCTGATAGAGGGCCATGGGACTTAGACCTAAATGAAAAAAATGGAGGCTCTAGACCCTTCCAGAGCTGAGATATTGAGATTCCACATAGCATTTATGCCATTATAAATATCTCAATATCTCTGCTCTGGAAGGGTCTAGAGCCTCCATTTTTGCACTCAGGTCTAAGTCTTATGGCCCTCTATCAGAATCCAGAGTTTCAAGAAGATCAGAGAAACTCAAAATTTTGACCTGAAAAAAACGACAGTGGTTCCCCTTTCGTTTTTTTTTTTTCGTTGCGAAAACTTAAGTTTCTCCAATCTTCTCAAAATTCTGGATTCTGATAGAGGGCCATGAGACTTAGGCTTGAGTGCAAAAATGGAGGTTCTAGACCCTTCCAAAGCTGAGATATTGAGATCCCATGCACCATTAATGCCATTATAAATATCTCAATATCTCAGCTCTGGAAGGGTATAGAGCCTCCATTTTTGCAATCAGGTCTAAGTCTCATGGCCCTCTATCAGAATCCATAGTTTCAAGAAGATCAGAGAAACACAAAATTTCGACCCGAAAAAAAACAACACTCCAATTTTCTCAAAACTCTGGATTCTGATAGAGGGCCATGAGACTTAGACCTGAGTGCAAAAATGGAGGCTCTAGACCCTTCTTGAGCTGAGATATTGAGATCCCATGTAGCATTTATCCCATTATAAAAATAGTGGGTTCGTGGACGGTGGAATTTCGGGACGGCCCTGTGCCATGAGGCGCTTGGTGCTACGGACCCTGGGGGGCCTGCTGAGTGTAGTAAAATAGTTTTTTTTTATCACGACAGGAACTTTAGTTAAAATGTCTATCAAATACACTACCCGAAACCCCATTCAATAGATTGCAGGCGGGATGGTGTCCTACATAAAAATGGTATGAAACTCATACAGGTTTGGAACAACAAGACGGTGAGTAAGTGATGACAAATATAATTTGTGGTTGAACTATACCTTTAAAGGCATAGTTCACCCAAAAATTTAAATTAGCCCATGATTTAATCACCCTGGCCTCTAGCCATCCTTGGTGTATATGACATTCTTCTCTCAGACGAAAACAATCAGAGTTATATTAAACAATGTCCTGGCCCTTCCAAGCTTTATATTGGCTGTAAATGGTTGTTTCTGTTTTGTGATAAAAGTGCATTTATCATAAAAGTGCATCTATCCATAAAAAAATATATATTAATATAAAATATTATAAGTTGCACTTTAGATTTAAGTCAAATCCATATGTTCTTTTGGCCGGAAGTTATTTTACTTAATAAAGTTTTAAATATGGATATTTTTCTTCCATCTCCATCTTCCTCATTACTCCACCTAAAGTCAACATCTGAGAGATTTTCATCAGCTATATGTTCAAGCACTTCAGAACTGTATCTGCACATGAAAAAGTTTCAAAAATGTATCGGTACTGTGATATATATTTTTTTTTTATAAAAGAAATTTCAATCAGCATCACTGAAAATCTGATTTAAAACGTGCAATTCTACAGTCGATTTTTAACTTTAATTAATAAGTTCAATCTTTCTATTTTACATACAAACTATGAAATACTGGCAAAAATATATACAAAATGTAAATACACCTTTGAAAATGTTGCTTGCTTCTGTGTTTGGAGTGAAGTGCTGCCATGCTTCTCTTCAATGTAGAGTATTTTTTTTAATATAATTACTACATGCAGAGCTTTACTGGCATTTGATTGGATGACAAACGTCCAATCTCATGGACTGCAGGCTTTGAACTAGGTGAAATGCTCCAGAAGTTAAAAAAAGGGGGCTGACATGTGATGTTCATTGTAATGGACACAGGACTCTGAATACTGAAATAAATACTAACAGTACCAGCACTGACCACTAGTCTGTGCTGTTGCCCTTACATTGGAGCGCAGTCATCTTGGGAAATACAACTTGTAAATTTCAGACCAGTTAAATCATTAAGTTAAATCACAAATACACATGCAGAGACATTTATCTCCAGCCCTGTAGCAAATGCTGATATTTTCATTTTATGCATCTAAATATGCCACAAGAGAGAAAGAGAAGCTCAGATGAGAAATTACCCAGGCATTTGAGCTGTGTCCTTGGATTTAGAATATCAAAGCCTGCATTTGAATAAACTTGCGATATAATACTAACTCACTGAGCTTGTTTAAAAAGATAAATGGACAGAATTAATTAGAATCTATATTAAAAAGAATATAGCGGTAAAGAGACCAGCAGATCTGTATGGAAGGTGGCCTTAACGCAGGCAGGCCGTAAGATGGTCTTTATAATTACCATAAAAGAAGGCCAGACAGGGCCGGCCTGAACTTTAGAAAACCGTCGTTTTCTTTAACTCTCCCCCCATCAGCAGCTCAAAAAGACGTGCCTGATCTCTCATTCTGCGAATCTACGGAGCGAGCCTTAATCTCCGGGCCTGTGACTCCGGTCATGCTTTCAATTGACAGAATAGTATCACACATTTCCCACTATTTACTCTCAAGACTTAGATTGTCTATTGATTTTAAATGTTTGCTCATGCCCCTGCGGAAAAGGCGCCGACGGTAGAGAGACTAGCAAACAAACAAACAAACATTTGCCGGTTCCACAGCCGATGTTCAGATCAATGACAAGGGTCTCTTAGAATTTATTAAACTGTGCGTCGGGTCAAACGCATTAGATCTCACTGAAACACAATCAATAGCATTTCCTCTTGTTTTCTTAGCAGCTCCCCTCCACCCCCTTCCCCTCCCTCCCTTCTCATAAGTAATGAACAAACATGACCAAACATCAGATTCTGTCATTTGAAGGTGAGGCAGTAAATTCATCTTGTCTGTTGTGTGTGATCACAATATAGATTTGTGGAACAGACGCTCTGTTTACTGGGCTTTGTTTTTATGAGCCACACATTTAGTCAATATCATGTAATTGGAAATTCATAGGAAATGGGCAAAGGGCTATCACTTTTAGTTTTGCTCACTGCAAGTTTGCAGGTTCAAGAATACATGTCATGAAATATGGATTTTGGGAAAGGCTTAAGCATGACGTATAATAAACACATGCAAGGTATAATGCTTCTGTATGTTGGTCTTTAATGAAAAAAACAAATCAATCCAATGACAGAATAGACCAGAACAAAAACTGTGTTAAATTGCTCTGCAGCAAAACTTGACTAACCGTTCTCTCAGGGAATAGCGGCTCAAGACTGGACTCTGGTCTCTGAGTGTGCTGGACACCGGAGTGGAATGCTCTTTGGGGGATTTATTTGGGGAACTTCTGGATGCCTGCTTGTAACAGAGAAAACAGGATCAGAATAGGCAAGGAAAAACACCCTTACTGATCAAACCAAAACTTTGTAACTCACCTGTGAGGGCTTTGATCTAAAACTTCCAAGGAGAGAGGGATCTAGAGAAGTTTTGTGGGAAAATATGGTAAAATGCATCCTCCACAACACATACAATAAAATCTCATAATACTTAATGAAAAGAAGGTTTTAAAGGGACAGCACAGCCAAAATAATATTAATAATAAAAAAAAATCAGTTAGTCACTGTTGTCGCTTCAACCCATGACTTTCTTCTGCAGAACAGAAAAGAAACCACACTATTAAATAAGCCAAAATATTAAATGTCATAGATCTCATAAATGACTTAAAGTACAGTGGCTGAGAGAAAGCTGAAGAAAACAAATGCAAATAGAAAAACACCCACAAATTAAGAACACCTGGGACGCTCCCATGCCAACACAGCAATAGGACGTTTCTTAGTAAGAAATATGATTTAAGTGGGAGTTCATGTCCAATTTCATGGAGCAAAGGCAATAAATTAGAATATTTCCAATTAGGAAACTCGTTGGAAATACGAGTTTCAAATTCTATCTGGGAGATCTGAGTTCCCTAAAAAAAGAATGGCTACTTTTGCAAAAAGAATCGCTACTTTTCAAAACTGGATTGCTACTTTTCCAAAAATGAATCGGTACTTTTTCAAAAAGAATCTCTACTTTAAAAAAAAAAAAAAAATCGCTACTTTTTTTTAAAAAAAGGATCACCACTTTAAAAAAAAATCGCTACTTTTAAAAAAAAGAATCGATACTTTACAAGGAAACTCATATCCCTACTAGGAAATCTGAGTTTCAAACTGAAAAATCTGGGTTTCCTACTAGGAATTCATAATTTCCTACTGGGAATTCTGAGTTTTATAGTAGGAAATCTAATTTGAGAGGGAGTTCATGTCCAATTCCATGAGCAAAGGCAATAAATTATAATAAATTCCTACAAAAGGAAACTCATATTTTTCCTACTAAGAAATCTGAATTTCCAACTAGTACATTTTAATTTCCTACTAGGAAATCTGAGTTCCTCAATTGGAAATATGATTTTAGAGGGATTTCATGAGATTTCCCAGAAGAAAACTCAGATTTCCTAGAATTTTCATTTTGACCCCCTCAACAAAATAGTGGATTATTCAGTAAATATACATTAATGACATTTATTATTTTGGCTTTCTTCTTCATTTATGTATTTTTTTCACCAGACAAATAATTATCAAAATTTAAATTTTAAGCTGGGGACCTCTGGTTGAGTTGACAGTTTTTATACCTTGCAAAAATTTCTTAAAAAAAAAAAAAAAAAAAAATCTTTCTGACCCAAAGAAGTGTTTGGTCAGTAAGGGTCCAAAACAACACATTTTTCAAAATATCTTTTGTGTTCCACAGACGAAAGTCATACAAGTTTGGTGTGACATGAGGGTGAGTATCAACAGTATAATAGTGACCTGTGAGGTTTGCGGTGTAGCACTGTGTTCGCAGTCGTAGCGGGCTTTTTTTTAGTAGCAGACTGAGATGTAAGACCAAATGTCGTGGGGGACATCAGTGATGCGTTTGGACTTCGGGGCACCTGCAAACAGAAGATTCAATCAGCTACGTTGCCCATTAAAAAATAAATAATCGCTCGTCTCTGATTTAGCAGGTGAAGCGACATGCATCAACACTCCATTGACACAGAGAGCATTGATTATCCAAATGAATTTGACTTTCATTTCACAGTTAATCACTTCTCTTGGAAGGTGAAAGTGAGAATAAACTTGAGAGGGAAGTTACTCAGACTCAGGTGTCTGTATAAACTAAACTCTCAGACTTCAATTAGTCCATTTGCACTTCATCTAAATAGTAAAGTGACCATGTGAGTTAATGAAACAAGCTATTAAGTTTTCACGCAAAACAAGTGCGCTGACTTTAAACACACATAAACCGAGCGAGCTAATCTGCTGAAATAAGAGGGAAGAATTTGCTAATCATGGCCTGACTCTTAATTACTTAGGTTAATTGTAGCCTTGGGATTTCCTTTGAAAAGGCTACCCGATTTTTAAAAGGCCTGTGACAGAAAATGCCATGATGATATCAGACACGAATCCAAGAGCTGCCTTTTATATAATGACAGCTTTGATATTTGTACCCCGGGACGTACTGTTGTTTTTTGAAAACACGGGAAAAGAAACAAGCCGGAGAATTGATGTTTTTACTTCAGTCAAGAAAACGGGGTGGAGATTTTGACACGGCTGTCTGTCTCCTGTAATCAACGCCTTCACAGAGGAAATATTGTAAATAATAAAAGTTTGACAGGTAAAAATATAATAAAAATATAACCACATACAGGTTAGTTGACCTGAGCTGAGCTAATGTTCTGTATCCGCATGAACACTCAATACACACTTCCGTTTTATCATTCAATTTCACCCACCACGAATGGAGCCAGAGGGACCGTCTCTTTCTTAAATGTGTAGGGCCCCAGTTTGATGTGACTTAGTCGTTGTCTGGCCTCCTCGGACAGCTGACACATCTTGCGGTGGGTGTAGGGTGAAGGAGCGCGACTTTGGGACGCCACTGTTGGCTTTTCGTATCCACGGGATGGTGCTGTGTCTGGTTTTCTTCTTTGCAGTTCTCACACGACAGGACTTAGTAGAAGAACG